ATACATACATACATACATACATACATACATACATACATACATACATACAGACAGAAAGACATTTAAAAATATATATGTAGTTTAGGGTCTCCATTTTGTTGATCAAACCCTAGGGATGAAACAGTAGCTCTTCAGTAACTGAAGAACACTGAACTGTACATTCTTTAAAAGATTAGACATCTTTTATTTGACTTCAACTTATATAGGAAATACAGATTTTTGCAAGATAATACATGATTTTGAAAGCCATTAAATTAACCAAAATCACTTGTTTGGGGGGGGGGTCAATGGATAAATAAACTAAGTCTTTATCACCAGAGAAGACTATCAAAAACAAAAAACAAACAAACAAATAACTTTAAAAATCCCCCCCCCCCCAGTGCTGAAATATCAAGGCATTACATTCTTTTGAGTGTTTGGAAATATAACCAACAACAAGAAACTATGCAACAGAATAGTGCAGCATCACTGAGACTAAATAAGTTAACATATAATAGGCAAAGATACAGGCTGTCTTAATTTTTTAACTTCTCGCCTTTGACATTTGACATATGAGGTGATGTGGGCCTGTCAAGAAATATCCTGGGTGACACCTGTCACTGAAATCAATATTTCTTTCCTTTAATGGTTTCAGTTTTACTTTGAATGTGGAAAGGGCAGCATCTCAATCAGTTTACTATAGTCATATATTTAGGAATCTCTTAAATAAAATTAACCAATGTATAATAAATTCTAATGGATGGGTAGGGAAATGACTGTACTCCTACCTTGTACTCCAAATAACAAGGCTAATGCAACTTGTTTTCAAACAATGAAGTTTTCAAACCCTCAAGATAATACTTTCCATAACCAAGAAACTAAATGCGATATTTTTTTTTAAAAAAATCGCTTTTACATTCTGTACAGGATTTATTTTTTTAACATGTACCTACTCATTTTCAAGGAAGCAGCCTTTGAAGAGGACAAATGAAGCTGATAAGGTAAGTACCTGAATTTCTCTAGATTAATACATAATATTCCTGTATATCATGGCAGCATATCAATTTTTGGCTATCAACTTATTCTCAAGTTATATCTTTATACTGAAAGTAGGGTTGGTAAATGTCCTAAAACAAACAAACAAACAAACAAACAAACAAACATATAAAAAAAGAAAACCAGTGAATCCACACATTCTATTTCTCCTTCTAAAGTTAACTTTGAGTGAGTAGTTAGAGGAATTTAAACAGAATTTGTTGTGCTGCTGGTATTTGCCTGAAGTTCACTCATGCAGCTAATTAACAATATTAATTTTTCTGGATATTTTCCTTTCTAACACCTTCATGTAGCATTTGATACCATCAATTAGTATTTTTTTTTACATAGTAAAAATTAACTCTTGTTTTAAAGATTTCATTACAGGCTTTTAAGAATGAAAACATACAGCATCCCAAACATTACTCTTGACTTTCTCCAGGTCTAAATAAGAACTGCTGTTCACATGATCTCAGATGACTTTGGAACTTTCTCAGCAGGAGTTAACTTGTAGTGTAATGTTAATATTAAGATCATAAATAACTCATACCAGACTTGGTATGGGCAGTGCCATCATATATAGTCCAGTATTTAAGATTTAAGTCATCAATGAGCTGGAAAGTACACGTACACACACACACACACACACACACACACACACATACACACACAATGTGTGTTCCTGTACACAACATTACATAGCCTTGAATTTTAAAATAAATATATCAGGCAAAAGATATTCACTGTTTGCTTAAATACCCTGCCAAAGCTACCAACTAGAATTTGAAGCTTGCACTTTAAAGTGTCTTTCTGTGATTTTGCAAGCCATAATAGCATTACCCTGGCTGAGTTGCTTCTGCTTGTCTTCCAGCACTGGTGATTCCAGAGAGCTCATTCAGAAGTCTTTTTGCACTGCCTCTGCCAGCCTCCAGGACTGTGCACATGAGTGACAGCCTCTATCTAGTGTTTGAGTATATGAACCTTTAATCCATCAAGATGCTTCTAAAACTGAGAGAGTACCTCCACCGTGTGCATATACCTTCCTGCACAAACCCATCATCTTGGGACCCACAGAAATGCCACCACATTTGAAGCCAGCCGAATATATTTTCCTAATCTCATCCAGACTTTATGGCTATAATTTGGCTGCTGCCACAATTTTAAATTAGCTTTTGCTTCAATGAAAGAAGGTAAACCATGTCTTGGGATTTGTGTGTGTGTTTTTTTTTAATCACTCACACAATAATCATATATACATATGTATGTTATAATAATATACAAATTGTAAAATATTGTTAAAGTGATTTGGGTGATCTTAAACAGGGGAGGGGGAATTTACTCCATCCTATTTTCTTATTCCCCAAAGTCCAACTTCCTGGAGTATGCCTTGATAGATGAGTCTGCTGTCTTTGAATAGAAACCCCTGCTTGCAGGGGGTTGGAGTGAAGATGCTGGGGCGTAAGTGAAGGGGAACGTGCTCTCAAACCCTTACAGCTGAAGTGCATTTGTTCTCACTTCTTTTCTCTCTTTCCCTCCCTGGCTGTTTCCATTTCTCCTCCCCCCCCTCCTCCTCCTCTTCTTCTCCCTCCTCCTCCTCTTCTTCTCCCTCCTCCTCCTCTTCTTCTCTCTCCTCCTCCTCCTCCTCCTCCTCTTCCTCCTCCTCCTCCTCCTCCTCCTCCTCCTCCTCCTCCTCTTCTTCCATATCCTTCCTTTCATCTCTTCTTAAATCAATTTTGGGAAGTTTAGTGTAGTTAAACTTCACTCTGTAGCCAAGACCAAGAAGGGTTAATGGAGTCTAAGCGGACACTCCTCCAGGTCAGCGGTGGTGCTAGCTCCCAGCGCTAGAATGGGAGGATGACTAAGGAAGGAGCAGGAGGCTGATCCCCTCACACCTGAACACACTGTTCTAATCCACTGGGATTCATATTTTTCTTTTTTTTTTAAAAAAAAATCCCCCTTCTGGAAAACGGTTTATTGGGTCTTCAGCTATGTTTCCTGTTGCACCGAAGGACACGCAGGGTAGTCTGAATTTAACAGCCCAAGCTGCTAAGAAAATTGAGCAATGGGAAGGTAAACCTTTGGCACAGATGCGCATAAAAACGTGTGCACGCATACACACAGTAGGCAGCTATCCGTTTCTTTTGAGAGATTTTGCCCCCTTTGAAGATCAGAAGCAGGAAAAAGGCAAAGACTTGTTCTCTTTTCTCACCTTGTGCCCTAACCCTCCACCTCCAAGAAATTAGAGCCTACTAGGTTGTTTACAGCTGTTTCAAATCTTTAGGTTTGTTCACACCAGCGAGACTCGTGCTTCAGAGTGAAAAGCTATTTTCGAGCCAGAACATTGCTGCTTGGCTTTGCGGAGGTTTTTTTTTACACTTTTCCAGTAAATTTTACCCAATGCCCTGTGAACTGCACTTTAGCTCCCAGCATCTAATCTTTGGGTCCTAGACAGGTCTCCACTGGCTAGGGTGGGGCCTGATCCTGCTAAAGCTGATTTCCCTCTGGCCGAGAAGAAAATCCCACAGTCCTCCGGCTTCCTTTGGTACCCCTGCCTCAATCCTTGGCCTTAGACTTCGTTCTACCTGCGTGGGAGCTGAGCCACGAACCTGGAACCCACTGATCTGCAGATTCGGGGTGGGGGGTTAGTTGTCTCGCCACCCGGTGGCAGCCCTGGACATTGGGTGGATAGCAGGGAAAGCCAAGCCGTTGATGGAGCTGGGCTACTGGGTCCCCTTTAGAGATACTAAATAAGACGAAAGATGGAGATTGATCAAGAAGAAAGTTGGAAACGCCTGGACTCCTAAAAGGAGTCTCCAAAACGGCAAGGGAAGAAAGCAATCCATTGGGGCCACACCCTGGCTACCTAGGCTGCCTGGCCAGACTACATGCCCTTGTCCTCGCTTCGCGCAAGCCATCAACTCCGATGACCACCTGGCCATTCCACTCCGGTGTGCAGCGGATGGCTCCCAAGCCTTCGGCCCGCGGCGACCGGCTCAGCCCTATTTGCGAAGCCAGGCGGCAGAGTCCTATCTCTGACTGCGCTGCCACCTTTTCCGTCGAGGGCAGAGGGACCGAGGCCTGCGCTTGAGCTCCCTAGCAATGGTCGGGCGGTCCCCTCTCTGAGCTGGCTTCCTCCCTCTCGGCCCCGCCAAATCCTGGCAAGTCAGGTCCCCCTTCGTCACCCCGGGGGCTTCTAATCACTCCGTATCGATTTCCCTAACTCTTTTCATCCCGTTGAAGACACATCTTAAAAACACTCCAGCCCGGAGTGTGCTCTGGGCTTTATCCACACTAATAAAATGATTTACCCTGCTCTCTGCGCTCTCCTCACAGAGGAAAATCGTTCGAGCTCTGGCTATTTGTGTGTGATCAGTAAATATTTAGTGCGGTGACATCCTCAGCTAGGCTTCGGATCGATGCGGGGCCCACCGGGAGGTGTGCGCTCTGCGGGCGGGGCCGCTTCGGGTCCGCCGAGAGGACTTCTAGTGTCCTGGCCACCGGCCGCAGATTTACAGCCCGGGCGGGAGGCCCAGGGAGGGGAGAAGTAGGGGGGGGGCCCAAGCGCGCCAGGAAAATTGCCTTTTCAACCTTTTTACTTTTGACATTCAGTCACTTCCCCACGTTACCACTGTCTCCTCCACACCTCCCCCATTCCTTCCCTAGGGTTCGCGGTGCACCCCGAGAGCCCTTTCCGGAGCTCGTGAGACGCTCTAGCAACCCTGTGGCCCAGGACCACCTATCAGAGTCCTCCGTGTAGCCACGCAGGGAGGCCCCAGCCCCTGCTTTGAGGGTCGTCTCCTTCGGGGCACGAAGCTCCTTGCCCGCCCACGCCTCCTAAAGCCGAAAAGAAGTGGGGGAGCTCAGAGCTGCAGCGGTAGTTAGAGATCTGCTTCCTCGGCACTCCTTCTGCGACCCCCCAAACCCCACTCTTTCTGCTCCTCTAGCATCTTGTCCCTGCTGCCAGTCGGATCGCAGGTCGTCGGGTGGGAACTTTACATTCTTCTCCACCAGATGCCCCTTTCCTTAGAAGCAAAAAGGAGCTTAGCTATGAAGTGTTGAGAGAGGGGGGCCTGCTCTTGGCAGCTAGAGGGCTGGGGTCTAGGTGGCTACAGTGGCAGCGCTTACCCAGGGCGTGCTCACACAACTTCTTGATTACATAGCCCCACCTTGACCGGGGGACCCCAGGAAGTGGGTTCGATGCGGAGTAGGTCACTGCACGTCTTCACCTTGTCCTGCGATTCTCATCACCTGGGACTGCTAAATTACCAGAGTTGGTTGTAGTCAGTGAGGACTATCCAGCCATTCCTTGGGGGGGGCTCTTCTTGGGGTCTGCGAGTCTTCAACTGCTGCTACCCACCTGTTGTTAGCTGACCTGTTTCCCCCTCACCTGAGGTCTAGACCTTTGCAATTCCCCTGGGGCCCACAGAAAATGTCACCCGCCTGTGTCTACGCACCCCTTCCCATATCCTAATACCCTCGCCGTTGTCATGACCATGGCTTTCTAAAACGCCATATCTGCAGAGTCTATCTTTATACTAATGCATACTTAATTGCTCTGTCTTGACTGTCCATATAAAACAATTTAATTAGGGTGGGGGTTTTTTGGTTGGATGATTTTTTTTTTTTTTTTTTTTTTTTTTTTTTTTTTGCTTTGGAGAGCAAAGAGAAGAAAATCTGCCCGATGCTTATTGTATTTAGCACCAATACAGGCAGAAAATGTAGCACAAGTTTTTGGTTGAAAGAGCACCTCTGTGTCCATTGAAGGGCGTTGATCCGAAAAGGCAGAAAGGACAAGTAAAATCGATTGGAAGCGACCCTCTCTGTCCTTTTCACACCATTCAGAAACTCCATTCCTTCTAAGACAAAGACCAGAGCCTTGGGAATTCACAGGGAAAAGGAGGACTCCAGTCCCACAAGCCTTGACCACTTCTTTTTAAATCTTCAATATTTCACTTTAAACCTGCACTTGGTGATGGACTCCCGCATGCAGGTTTCAGCCCCCCACCCCGGCCCCACCCCGGAGGAGCCATGCAATTTCACCATCCCTCACCCCAACCCCATGCTACTGCCCGATGATGTGGCCTTTCGGTCTGGGCGGGCCTGCTTTTTAGGGTTAGTGCATCTCTCACCTTTGACCCTCAAGATTGGAATGGCAACCAGTGTTCTAAATATGGCCAAAGTTGAAAGAAAATGACCACAAAATAATTACTCCAAAGCCCAGTTCTGGTTCAGCGCCTGAGCCACCTTATCCAATAGCCACCTCCATCCCTATCGTCCCCCACCCCCTTTCTTCTCTGGCAATGACTGCCCTAGCCACCTCTGAAGGAGGGAGCTGAAATGAACAGGACCACATCTCTGGGTGGCGATGAGTTGCCAGGTCTAATTGGTCTTTCATTAGGTTATCCCAGGCGCCCAGGCTGGGGAAGGTGGTCATCGATCAGACCTGGCATGAAAAGAAAAGGAGGCGGGAGAGAAGAGAGGGCCAGAGAAGGGGAGGAGAGAGGCCGAGACTGAGATCACCTTCACCTGCCCAGAGCCGGGCCTCCCTGTTGGAGATCCCTCGACCTTCAACTAGGATGAAGGGGGCGGGGCAGAAGGGAGGGAGCATTACTGAATTACACACGTGGCCTTCTTCTAAGAAACAGAGTTCACCTCCTCTCCGGAGGAGTCCCACCAGCCATCCACTCATTGTAACTGATGAGACAAACCGCAAGGAAAAACTTCTGTAGCCCGTATTTATGGTATTAATGAACAGTTAAAAAAAGATTTACACTTCTTATGATCAATATTCTGAGTTATTTCCCTCAAAGTATATAATTACAGTGTCTTCAGAGTTTCATCATTGTTTGAGGTGGCAAAACCATTTGTAATTTTCATTAGCCAGTAAACATGTAATTAACATTCAGCACTGTGTTTAACTTAATTCCTGTTTAAGACAAGGACAAGAAGCAGTGAAGAGCGTTAGTTCCATTTGTCAAGTCTGACATACATCTTACCATAACAGTTTCCTAAAATAAAAATCCATGTTTTCCCATTACTCTCCTCTTAAAACAAAACAAAGCAACAACAACAAAAATCCATTAGTTAAAACTGTACTAAATTGCAAGAGACAGCTCAGTCTCTTCTCAATTTTTTGCCAGTTATTGTATCTCTGCTTCTTTTATTCGTTTGGGGAGATTGATAAAGGGAGGGGATGAATT